CAAGTTACAGGGATAGGTGTGCTGTAATGTGATTAATGGAATAACATCCAGCAGCTTCTCCCATACCTCCGTTTTGCTGTTGAATTAAAAAAAAAAAAAAACTTACAGGGCCTCCCTGGTGGCACTGGGATTAAAGTTTCAGCTCTATCAAGCTATCGCCAGCCACTGCAGCCTAAGTTCAATCCCCGGCCAGGGAGCTACCCACATGGTGCAGCAGACCTCTCCTGTCTCACCTGCTGCTCGCCTCAGCAGTGTATTTCATTCAGTACATCTGCCTGTTCTGTTCCTCGCTCTGTCTCTGGTGAATCCTCTCACCCCCCACATCCCTGGTCTCTACCCCAGTTCTTATATGCATAAATAAATAAATCTTTAAAAAATAAAAGAAACCAGAAAGACAAAAACAGATCCCAAGAGATAGCATCTAGATTGAGACCTTATTTCTTTTTTGCAGATTTATTTATTTATGGATACAAGAACTAGGGTACAGGCCAGAGGTGCAGGGGGTGGGGCGAGAGGATTCACCAGAGACAGTGGGGAGCAGAACAGGCAGATTGACTGAAATACACTGCTGAGGGGAGCAGCGGTTGAGACAGGAGAGGTCTGCTGTGCCATGTGTGTAGCTCTCTGGCCAGCTCAGGATCCAACTCATGCTGCAGATGCTGCAGTTAGCTTCATAGTGCTGTGCTTAACCCCTTGCACCACCAGGGAGGCCCAAGACCTTTTTTCTTTTTTTTTTTTCTTTTTTTTTTTTAACTTTTTTTTTTTTTTATAGAGGCATGTTTTTATTTATTTATTATTTGTTTGTTTGTTTGTTTTGTTTATACATGCACTGGGTACAGTCAGAAGCACGGGAGGGTGAGAGAATTCACCAGAGCCAGAGTGGGGAGCAGAGCAGGCAGAAGGACCGAAGTACACTGCTGAGGGGAGCAGCGGGCGGCAGGAGAGGTCTGTGCGCCATGTGGGACCCTCCTCCGGTGGCCGGGGAGCAGCCGGGGATCGAACCGGCGCCACAGAGGCCGCGGGCAGCTTCGCAACCCAGCGCTCAACCGCTGCGCCACCGGGGAGGCCCAAGACCTTTTTTCTTAAGAGTCATAATGGAAATCATAAGTGGAATGCTTAATGTGCTCAGAGGATATAATTGTTAACTTTGAGCTCTATACCCTGTGATACTATCTTTCTTTTTTTTAATTAAAAGATTTATTTATGCATACAAGAATGGGGTGCTTGCCAGAGATGTTGGGGGTGAGAGAACTCACCAGAGACAGATTGGGGAACAGAACAGGCAGATTGACTGAAACATAATGCTGAGGGGAGCAATGGGTGAGTCAGGAGAGGTTTGCTGCGCCATATGGGTTAGCTCCCTGGCTGGGGTGAAGGGGGGAAATTGAACTAGTGATGCGGTGGCTGCAGATAGCTTCATAGTGCTGAAAGACATTGCAAAGATACACTTCAAATTCATAAAGAAAGGAATAAAATAATCTGAAGATATAGAATCAACTGTAGACCAATAAATTTGGCAACTTAGATTATATGAACAAATTCTTAGAAAACTACTGCTTACTTGAGAAGGAGAAAACCTGAGCAGTCCTTCATAATCACTACAAAATTTAAAACAGCGGTTTAAAATAATTCCTTTAAGGAAGACAACCTGATGAATTCACAGGTAACAAACAAACAAGAAACATAATTCTGATGTTCCAAAATTTCTTCCAGAAAACAGAAACAAGGTCACTCTTCAAATTATTTTATCAGGTTTGCACAATCTAAACACCATAGTCAAAGACAGTACAAGAAAGTAAAATCATCAAAGAATGTAATTTATAGCAGATGCAAAAATTCTAAATATAGGGCCTCCCTGGTGGCACAAGGAGTTAAGACACAACTTATGAAGCTATCCACAGCCACTGCAGCACGAGTTCGATCCCCAGCCAAGGAGCTACCCACATGGCGCAGCTGACCTCTCCTGCCTAGCCCGCTGCTCCCCTCAGCAGTGTATTTCAATAGACCTGCCTGTTCTGTTCCCCATTCTGTCTCTGGTGAATCCTCTTACCCCCCCACACCTCTGGCCTGTACCCTAATTCTTGTATGCATAATTAAATCTTTTTTTAAAAATAGATGCAGTAGGTATGAAGTGGTTAATTCCAGAGAGATTAGAAAGAAGAGGAGTCCCTTTTTGCTGATAAGTCAGATATAGGGAGTGAGAGACAGCTCAAGGACTAGCCTGAAGTTTCTGGTGTAAGTTCTTGGAAGGATTTAACTGTTATTTCCAAGAAGGGGAAGATAGAGTAGGTAAGCAAACTTGGGGGCACAACCAGCAGCTATGCTTTGGAAATGCAGAGTTTGGGTAACCTAGACACCTAGTGGGTATGTCAAGGAGGCATCTGTAATGTAGAGATGGTCCAATTTTATTTTATTTGTGTTTTTTTAAAGATTTTATTTATTTTTTTTATACAAGCACTGGCTACAGCCAGAAGCCCGGGAGGGTGAGAACTTACTAGAGCCAGAGCGGAGAGCAGAACAGGCAGACTGACGAAGTATGCTGCTGAGGGGAGCAGCAGGCGGCAGGGGAGGTCTGCGTGCCACGTGGGACCCTCGCCCGGCGGCCGGGGATCAAACCAGCGCCGCAGAGGCTGCGGGCAGCCTCATAATCCAGCGCTCAACCGCTGCGCCACCGGGGAGGCCCTGTTTTTTTGTTTGTTTGTTTGTTTTTTAAATTTTGTTTTTTTTTTTTAATAGGAGGACTATGCTAGCAATAAAAACTGGGGTGTTAGAAATGTAGAGATTTTTCAAGTAATAATTTCAGTTACAGGTTATGTGATATACAGAAAGAATGAAGACTTATTAAGATTGTGAAATCAGTAGCAATTGCAAATGAAAACATAAGCCAGTCCTGTGGAAAATCAGCAAAGAACAGTGTTGGAGACAACTGAAATTGCAGAAGCCCTGAGGTTGTTCACCTAGGAAGGTGTTTACCAGAGTGGCCTCAGTGAGGAATATCCACCATCATGAGAAACGAATCATCAGCACAAAGGTGCTAGTGGGTCAATCTTGCTAGGATTGGAATAGTTTAGGCCAGTTGTACTGAGATGAAGCATTCTGGGGCAATGGCGCCCTCTGCTGGCCAGGCTACATATCAGCTCCATTTTCATTAATAATGATTATTGGGCCTCCCTGATGGTGTAAGTGGTCAAGCCTCTGCACCATCAAGCTATCACCAGTCACTGCAGCATGAGTTCGATTCCCACCCCCCGCCCCAGCCAGGGATCTGACCACATGGCGCAGCCGACCTTTCCTTTCTTGCCCACTGCTCCCCTCAGCAGTGTATTTCAGCAGATTCGTGTGTTCTGCTCCCCACTCTGTCCCCAGGACCTCTGGCCTATATCCCAGTTCTTGTATGCATAAATAAATAAAATAAATGTTTTTAAAATGATTATATCATACATTACTATGTATGATATACTATGTATGATTTATTCATACTATACATGATTTATTAACAGTCAGTGCTTAACAAACCCAGTCTCTCTCATCCACCTGAAGCAAGGAGGCTGGCACTAGTGGGAATGTACACTGAATGATTGAATATATGTGAACCTGAATACAGGTTTTGGCCTCAGCCTCCCTCTCTGCAAATGTGGGATTCCTTCCTTTGATTTTCTTTTCTTTTCTTTTCTTTTTCTTAAAGATTTATTTATGCATACAAAAACTGGGGTACAGGCCAGATGTGTGGGGGGTGAGAGGATTCACCAGAGACAGAGTGGGGAACAGAACAGGCAGATTGACTGAAATACACTCCTGAGGGGAGCAGTGGGTAAGTCGGGAGAGGACTGCTGCGTCATGTGGTTATCTCCCTGGCCGGGGATCGAACTCGTGCTGCAGTGGCTGCGATTAGCTTCATAGGTTGCATTTTAACCCCTTGCGCCATCAGGGAGGTCCGATTTTGTTTTCTTTTATTTGTGTTTTTTTTTTATTTTAAAGGAGTATTTTTGGAGCACATACTAATTAATAGGTCCTATTCTAAGCTTTTGGAACACACACCTCAGCCAAACACCGTGTTAAGATGGATACATCCATCCTTCTCATTCAATCTCGCATTTATGGAATAGAAAATTATGATTTAGAGTGGCTTTAATTGTAGTGCAAGAAAATAGCAGGAATGAGGGCCTCCCTCGTGGCGCAAGGGGTTAAGCACAGCACCATGAAGCTATCCGCAGCCTCCGCAGCACGAGTTCGATCCCTGGCCGGCCAGGAAGCTGACCCACATGGTGGAGCAGACCTCTCCTATCTCTCCCGCTGCTCCCCTCGGCGGTGTATTTCAGTCAGCCTGCCTATTCTGTTCCCCACTCTGTCTCTGGTGAATCCTTTTACGCCCCGCACCTCTGGCCTGTACCACAGTTATTTATTTATGCATACAAGAGCTGGGGTACAGACCAGAGGTGCGGGAGGTGAGAGGATTCACCAAAGACAGAGTGGGAAGCAGAACAGGCAGACTGACTGAAATACACTGCTAAGGGGAGCAGCGGGCGAAACAGGAGAGGTCTGCCTCGCCATATGGGTTTCTCTCTGGCCGGCCGGGGATCGAACTCGTGCTGCAGAGGCTGCGGATTGCTTCATAGTGCGGTGCTTATAACCCCTGTGCCACCAGGGAGGGGCCAATTTTTTTTTTTTTTTTTTTTTTTTTTTTTTTTGTGGGACCCTCGCCGATGGCCGGGGATCGAACTGGCGCTGCAGAGGCTGCAGGCAGCCTCGCAGCCCAGCGCTCAACCGCTGCGCCACCAGGGGAGACCCAATAAATAAATCTTTAAAAACAAAAATAGCAGGAATGAGATTCGAATCCACGACAATTTTGATTATAGGCAGCAGAACGCAGCCGGTGGGAGCAAGTCTCCGCGCCCGGCTTGTACGAGAGAGCCCGAGTCCGTTGCCATGGTCCCCTGACGCTCTTTCCAGCTTTTCTGCTCTGGTCGCGCTTCACGTGACTTTAGTCAATATGGCGCCACCCAGGATGGTCCATTGCCCTCGTGGTTCCAGTAGCCAAGATGGCGGCAGCTGCTACGCCAGCGTCAGTGGAGTCCGCACCCCGAATCATGAAGCTAGTAGCTGAATGCAGCCGCTCCAGAGCCCGGGCGGGCGAACTGCGACTGCCGCACGGGCCTGTGGCCACTCCAGTGTTCATGCCAGTGGGGACGCAGGCCACCATGAAGGGTATCACGGCCGAGCAGTTGGAAGCGCTGGGCTGCCGCATCTGCTTGGGCAACACCTACCATCTGGGTCTGAGGCCGGTGGGTAACCCAGCCGGGGGAGGCAGTGGAGCGTGGGAAGTGCTGAGGCATTTCCTAGACTCAGACACACCTCCAAAAGTCAATCAACTTAGGCGTATTGAGCGCTACGGGTCGTCCTCAGGCATTGTGCTGGGCGAGAGGACAGGACGGGGATCGAAGGTGGCCAGCCCTTTCCCAACAAGAGCCCCCAGTCTCGTGTTCCGCCTAACCTGATACGTCCCCCACCCCCTCCAACCCAGGGCCCGGAGCTGATCCAGAAAGCCCAAGGCCTCCACGGATTCATGAATTGGCCCCACAATCTGCTGACGGTGAGTTGGGCCCTTGATCCGAAAGTACTTCTGGGAGGTGAGATATACCCACTCCACATCCCCTGACAACCCTGTGGTGGCATTTCCCTAGGACAGCGGAGGTTTCCAGATGGTGTCTCTGGTGTCCCTCTCAGAGGTGACAGAGGAAGGCGTCCGCTTCTGCTCCCCATACGATGGCGACGAGACCCTTCTGAGCCCGGAGAAATCTGTGGAGATCCAGAATGCTCTGGGTAAGCAGAGCAGCCTCCCCCCTCCATAGAAATTCCAGTACACTGCAGTCTGGGCCTTGAGGGAACATTACAAATAGAAAGGGGGAAAGTGGTGTAGGTAGAGTGCATTCATTATATGTTTACATTTGTAGGAAGGATTAAAAAAGCACATGTATGATTTATTTTTACTTGTGTAGATTTATCTGTGGAAAGAAACTGTAGTCCATGTCCTGGGGGAGGAGAACTAGTGAGCAGGTAGCCAGGTGGGTAGTGGATGCACTTAAATTTTTTTTTTTTGGGTGGGGGGAGATATAACAGTAAGCTGCAAACATTTAAAGCGTATCTTGTGATAGATTTTGATAGATATATGTATGTATATATATGTGTGTGTGTATATATATATACACATACATATATATATGCCTGTGATCTTTTACCACAATCAAGATAGCAAATATATACATATTTAAAGATTTATTTATTTATGCATATAAAGCTGGGGTACAGGCCAGAGATGCAGGGGTGAGAGGACTCACCAGAGACAGAATGGGGAGTAGAGCACTCTTTCAGATCTACTGAAATCTACTCTTGAGGGGAGCAGCTGGTGAGACAGGAGAGGTCTGTTGTACCATGTGGCTTACCTCCCTGGCTGGGGATTGAACTCGTGCTGCAGTGGCTGCGGATAGCTTTGTAGTGCTGTGTCTTAACGCCTTTCACCACCAGGGAGGCCCCCCTAAAGATTTATTTATTGGGCCTCCCCGGTGGCGCAGAGGTTGGGCGCTGGGTTGCGAAGCTGCCCGCGGCCTCTGTAGCGCCGGTTCGATCCCTGGCTGCTCCCCGGCCACTGGAGGAGGGTCCCACATGGCACGTAGACCTCTCCTGCCGCCCGCTGCTCCCCTCAGCAGTGTACTTCGGTCCTTCTGCCTGCTCTGCTCTCCGCTCTGGCTCTGGTGAATTCTCTCACCCTCCTGTGCTTCTGACTGTACCCAGTGCTTGTATGCATGTATGTATCAATCAATCAATCAATAAATAAATCTTAAAAAAAAAAAAAAAGATTTATTTATTTACCCATACAAGAAACAGGGTATAGGCCAGAAGTGTGAGGGATGAGAGGATTCACCAGAGACAGAGTGGGGAGCAGAACAGGCGAATCTACTGAAATGCACTGCTGAGAGGAGCAGCAGACGAGACAGGAGAGGGACCCTCCTCCGGTGGTCGGGAACAGCCGGGGATCGAACCGGTGCTTTAGAGGCTGTGGGCAGCTTCGCAACCCAGCGCACAACCGCTGCACCACCGGGGAGACCCCTGAACGTTTACTTTCTTAACCCTTTTAAAATACCTAGTTGGGGCCCTCCCCTGGTGCAGCGATTGAGGGCTGGGCTGCGAAGCTGCCCTCAGCCTCTGCAGCAGTGGTTCAATCCCCAGCAGCCGGTGAGGGTCCCACATGGCATGACAGACCTCTCCTGCCCCGCCCGCTGCTCCCCTCAGCAGTGTATTTCGTCACTCTACCTGTTCTGTTCCCCACTCTGGCTCTGGTGAATTCTCTCACCCTCCCACACTTCTGACTGTACGCAGTGCTTGTATAAATAAATAAATAAATCTTTAAAAAAACCCCCAAAAACCTAGTTGGGACCTTCCTGGTGGTGCAGGTAGTTGAGCGCAGCTCTGTGAATCTGTCCGCAGCCTCTGCAGCGCGGGTTCCATCTCAGCCAGCCAGCAAGAATCCCACATGGCGAAGCAGACCTCTCCTGTCTCACCGGCTACTCCCCTCAGCAGTGTATTTCGTCAGGCTGCCTGTTCTGTTCCCCTCTCTGTCTCTGGTGAATCCGCTCACCCTCCCATGCATCTGGCCTGGACCCCGGTTCTTGTATAAATAAATAGATCTTTTTTTTTAAAAATCTAGTCGTGTCGCATTAAGCACATTCACATTGTTGTGTAACCAACCCCATCATCTGGCTCTAGAACGCTTTTCATCTTACATTTCCAGCTGAAATTCTGTCCCCATTAGACACAATTCCCCCTTTTCCCCCCAGCCCCTGGCATCTACTAGTCTACTTTCTGTCTTTATGAATTTGTCTATTTTAGGGACCACAGGTAAGTGGAAGCACACAATATTTGTCCTTTTTTTTTTTTTTAAAGATTTATTTATTTACACAAGCACTGGGTACAGTCAGAAGCACAGAAGGGTGAGAGAATTCACCAGAGCCAGAACCGGGAGCAGAACAGGCTTAAGGACCGAAGTACACTGCTGAGGGGAGCAGCGGGTGGCAGGAAAGGTCTGCCTGCCATGTGGTACCCTCCCCAGTGGCCGGGGATCGAACCGGTGCTGCAGAGGCTGCGGGCAGCTTCACAGCCCAGCGCTCAACTGCTGCGCCACCAGGGAGGCCCTATTTGTCCTTTTATATATGGCCTCTTTTACTCAGCATAATGTCCTAAGATTCATCAATGTTGTACCCTGTGTTAGAATTTCCTTTTTAAGACTGAGTAATATTCTGCTGTATGGATGGTGCACATTTGCTGATCCATTCATTCACTTGTAGGCACTCAGGTTGCTTCTGCCTTTTGGCTACAGTTAATCATGCTGCCATGAACATGGATGCAAATTATCTGCTCAATACTCTGCTTCCAATTCTTTTGGTTTATCTATGCAAAAGTGGAATTGCTGGATCATATGATATACACTTTGCTTTTATTGCATTAATACTTACAATAAATTGGATTTTTTAAAAAGATTTATTTATTTATTTATACAAGCACTGGGTACAGTCAGAAGTGTGGGAGCGTGAGAGAATTCACCAGAGCCAGAGCAGGGAGCAGAGCAGGCAGAAGGACCGAAGTACACTGCTGAGGGGAGCAGTGGGTGGCAGGAGAGGTCTGCGCGCCATGTGGGACCCTCCTCCGGTGGCCGGGGAGCAGCCGGGGATCGAACCAGCTCTGCAGAGGCTGCGGGCAGCTTCACAACCCAGCGCTCAACCTCTGCGGCACCGGGGAGGCCCCAATAAATTGGATTTAAAAAAATATATTTATTTATTTATGCATGGAAGAACTGGGTCACAGGCCAGAGGTGTGGGGGGTGAGAGGATTCACCAGAGACAGAGTGGGGAACAGAACAAGCAGACTGACTGAACAACACTACTGAGGGGAGCATCAGGCAAGTCAGGAGAGGTCTGCTGCGCCATGTGGGTAGCTCCCTGGCAGGGGATCGAACTCATGCTGCACAGGCTGTGGACAGCTTCATAGGTTGCGTCTTAACCCCTTGCGCCACCAGGGAGGCCCTAAATTGGATTTTTTAAAAGATTATTACTACCTCAGGACCTCCCTGTGCAAGGGTTTAAGCGTCAACACTCTGAAGCTTCCGCAACTACAGCAGCATGAGTTCGATCCCCGGCCAGGAAGGAGACCCACATGGCACAGCAGACCTCTTGTCTCACCCACTGTTCCCTTCAGCAGTGTATTTCAGTCAGTCTCCCTTGTGTACTCCATACTCTGTCTCTGGTGAATCCTCTCACCCCCTGAACCTCTGATCTGTACCTCAGCTCTTATATGCATAAATAAAGCGAGAGGAGAGGTCTGCCGCACCATGTGGGTAGCTCCCTGGTCGGGGATCAAATTCATGCTGCAGTGGCTGGAGATAGCTTGACAGCACAGTGTCTTTAAACCCTGTGCCACCAGGGAGGCCCCTAGACTGTGGTTTATTTTAAATCCCTGTTGACAGACATTTGGGTCCCATCTTGCCATTGCCATTACTTTGCCAGGAATCACTTTGTACATATATGATGTTGTTCTTAAAGGATGAATTCATAAAAGTAGGATTTTATTCTATGTGCCAAGGCAGGGTTTTAGATGGGGGGGTGTGGGGGCAAGAGCAGATGTACATTGTGAAAAGCTCCCTCTGGCTGCTCTCTATGAGAAGAGTAGAACCTGGTGGCGTGGGGGTGGAGGGTCCTGCTTATCCCCAACAGCAAGTGGGGACTGTCCCAGTGATTGTGTCCCTGTCACCCTTCCAGGGTCTGACATCATCATGCAGCTGGATGACGTAGTGAGCAGTACGGTAACAGGGCCACGAGTGGAGGAGGCCATGTACAGGTGTGTGTGTGCATGTGTGTGTCCACATGTGCTCATGTGTGTGTCTGGTGGTGGTGGGGGTCCTGGTACTATAGCCTTGTCTCCTTACCCCTCTCATGCCCCTAAGACTCATGACAGGGCCCTCTTGCAGGTCAATCCGCTGGCTAGACCGGTGCATTGCAGCTCATCAGAGGCCAGACAAGCAGAACCTCTTCGCCATCATCCAGGGTGGGTTGGATGCAGATCTCCGGGCTACCTGCCTTGAAGGTAAAGCCATGTGCTGGTAGGACCAGGGCTGGTCCATTCTGAGAGCCCCATGTGCGCCTGGTATGTGTCCACTGTGCTCACACAGTGGTTAATGGATGAAAGAGCATTCCAGGTGGGTGCAACAGCTGAAGCAATGGTGCTTAGGGCAAAGGAGTAGAATGTGTTAGGAGAATAATAGAAATTTCAGTAGGTGTCAGGTTTCTGAGGTTACCAATAGGGAAGCTGAGGCACAGAGCTCTTAAGTCACTTACCCACACTGCACAGCTTGGATATTGCTAAGCTAGGAGTGGACCATCTTCTAGAAGCTACAAGTTAACTGATACACTGTAAGGGTGACAAGGAAGTCTGGTCAATGCCATGGCTGTGGAGACAAGGGAGGCAGAGATGGGGGCTCAAAGGCAGTGACACAACTTTGGGTTCTAGAGTCTGTTGGGCTGGAGCTGAACCTTTGATTTGCTGCCTCAATGCTGTACACCCTGGGACTAATAGTTCGGTCTTTCTGAGCCTTTATCTGTGAAATGGGGATGTACTCCCAATGTCATAGAGTTGAAGTGAGGAATTAATGTGCAAAAGTCCCCCCTAATTCTGACATCATTTGTGCTGTTATGTACATTGTCCTGGTTGTAATTCCTCTTTATCCTTACACTGCCCCTACTCCATTTTTGGTCCAGTAAGTCTTTTTTTTTTTTTTTTAAAGATTTATTTATTTATGCATACAAGAGCTTGGGTACAGGCCTGAGATGTAGGGGAGTGAGAGGATTCACCAGAGACAGAGTGGGGAACAGAACAGGCAGACTGACTGAAATACACTGCTGAGGGGAGCAGTGGGTGAGTCAGGAGAGGTCTGCTGCGCCATGCGGATTGCTCCCTGTCCAGCCGGGGATCGAACTCATGCTGCAGAGGCTGCGGATTGCTTCATAGTGTGGTGCTTAGCCCCTTGCGCCAACAGGGAGGCCCATGGTCCAGTAAGTTTTTTTAACAGAGACTTCCATTCAGAGATCTCTTTCATGTCATTGCTCAGTTGGTGTGGACATGTATGAAAGCAGAAACCTAGGCTTTTGGAAACCTCTTCTACATGAGATACTTTCTGGTATTTTCTGCTCTCTTATGTTAAACAAAAAAAATACCACCTGCTGAAAAGTGACCGGCGCTGCCCCGGTGGCACTTCTGTGGGAGCTTTAGGCTCACCTGCATATGAACCTCTCAGGTTCTCGCCCTGCCTGCCTGGGATCAAGAGACCAAGGGAGGCCAGGACATTGTATTTACCAGCCATCCCCTGTTGATTTTGATCTTCATTTCAACTTCGGAAGCTCCCCAGACCCCTCCTGCTTTGTCGATACTCTAGCCTCTCTCGGATTGAATGGTGCAGCTGGGGCTAGAGAGAAGCCTGGGCTTTGAGGCCAGACCTGGGTTCAAATCCAGTGTCTGGCATGTGCAGAAGAGTGAGTTAGGCTTCATTTTGTTTTGCTTTTAAAAGATTTTTATTTATTTATGCATACAAGAGCTGGGGTACAGGCCCAGCATTGTGGGGGATGAGAGAATTCACCAGAGACAGAGTGGGGAACAGAACAGGTGGATTGACTGAAATACACTGCTGAGGGGAGCAATGGGTGAGACAGAAGAGGTCTGCTGCGCCATGTGGGTCACCTCACTGGCCAGGCATTGAACTCATGCTGCAGTGGCTGTGGATAGCTTCATAGTGCTGCGTCTTAACCCCTTGCGCCACCAGGGAGGCCCTGGGTTAGGCTTTGTAGGCCTTAACCACAGTGTGGAGATGCAGCCTCTTCTCTGAAATACTGGAGTCTGATTGCCCACTTCTCAAATCCAAACACTTGGGGATTTGCAATGCAAGACTGACATCTATGTGGCTATTTATCCCATTTATTATGAGTCTTCCTACATTCTGAATCAGAAACTTACAGCGGTTGATGACAGACTATAACTCAGAATCTGCAGCATTCACTGTTCTAAAATCTGGAACATTCTGAATTCTGAAACACATGTGGCTCTACCTTGGATTTCAGCTAAGGGAGTGTGCCCATGGGCTTCTCCTGAGGACTGAAGGTCTTATATGCATTAGGCACTCAGTGAATGGTTGCTGAGATCACCAGCAGCTCCCCAGGCAGCCCAACATATATGCACAGATACACACATTTGTATTCTGGGGAGTTTGGGTAGGCTCCACCTGCAGGTGCAAAGGAGGAGACCCATTTCCTTTTGTCTGGTGGCCCCTACCTTACCCTGACCTGTACCCCCCAGAGATGACCAAGAGGGATGTGCCTGGCTTCGCCATTGGGGGCCTGAGCGGGGGTGAGAGTAAGAGCCAGTTCTGGAGGATGGTGGCGCTGAGTACCTCAAGGCTGCCCAAGGACAAGCCCCGATACCTGATGGGGGTCGGGTATGTAGAGAGGGCACAGTTCCACCATGGACGGTGGTTTCCTGATGAGGGGATTTGGGGGAAGGACATGGTTTCCCTTGGGGGCAGTTCTGAGGAAATGTGACCCAGATTCCCTGAGAGAGTGAGGGTGGGGGTGGCCTGGGTGTATGACTAGGGCTTGAGGTTCTCTGCTAAACTCTGCCCATGGCCCCAACACCAGCTATGCCACTGATCTGGTGGTCTGCGTGGCTCTTGGATGCGACATGTTCGACTGTGTCTTCCCCACCCGGACGGCGGTGAGGCCTTGGGTGAAGGGCAGACGGGGTGGGGGTGGGGCCGGAGCATGTAGAGATCTGGTCAAGCCGACTTCTCCTTCTCCCTCAGCGCTTTGGTTCTGCACTTGTGCCGACTGGGAACCTGCAACTGAAGAAGAAGCAATTTGAAAAGGACTTCCGTCCCATAGACCCTGAATGTGCCTGTCCCACTTGCCAGAAGTAGGGGAATGATGGGGTTCTGGGGATCAGAGGAGGGTTTGGGGGGCAGCGAGCCCCTGCCCTGCTGAATCCCACCTCTCACTCACAGGCACAGTCGGGCCTTCCTGCATGCACTGCTCCACAGTGACAACACTGCTGCCTTGCACCACCTCACTGTCCACAACATTGCCTACCAGGTGGGCCTGTGGCCAGGTGGGCAATAAGGGATGATGTGGGGTGATCTTCCTGGCCAACTGGCTGACACTGACACTGTCCCCTCTGCCCACAGCTGCAGCTGATGAGCACTGTGCGTGCCAGCATCGTGGAAAAGCGCTTTCCTGACTTTGTGCGGGACTTCATGGGCACCATGTATGGGGACCCCACCCTCTGTCCCACCTGGGCCACTGATGCCCTGGCCTCTGTGGGAATCACACTGGGCTGACCTGGCATGGGGCAGGGAGGGTGGGGAGGAAGATGAATAGAACATATTGAAGGGTTTGTTTTTATGTATTCTATCTGTTTTTTTTTTTTAAATTTATTTATTTATGCATACAAGAACTGGGGTACAGGCCAGAGATGTGGGGGGTGAGAAGATTCACCAGAGACAGCAGGGAACAGAACAGGTAGATTGACTGAAATACACTGCTGAGGGTGAGACAGAAGAGGTCTTCTGTGCCATGTGGGTAGCTCCCAGGCTGGGGATCAAACTTGTGCTGCAGTGGCTGCAGATAGCTTCATAGGTTGTTTCTTAGCCCCTTGCGCCACCAGGGAGGCCCTTGTATTCTACCTTGGGAGAGTCTGTGCCTTCATGGGGAGGTGTCATTTCTTGATCCTCTTCTAGGTCTGAGAGTCACTGTGGCCAGTGTCCTCTCCCTTCCAATATCAATATCAGTTAATAATAAGTAACCACAATAACAGCTGGTATCTGGGAGCCCTCTGGCATAGAATGTAGGAAGTGCCCTGAGCGGAAACTGCCTCCTTTTTCCTGTGACCCAGGCCCTCCATCCGCCCTGGGGGTGGGCACACTTGTCCTCCCCCTTTTATTTTATTTATTTATTTTTAAAGATTTATGCATACAAGAACTGGGGTGTAAGCCAGAAGTGCAGGTGGTGAAAGAATTCACTAGAGAGGGGAGTAGAACAGGCAGATCCACTGAAATACATTGCTGAGGAAAGCAGCGGGCGAGACAGGAGAGGTCTGCTGTGCCAAGTGGGCTGCTCCCTGGCCAGCCAGGGATCGAACCTGTGCTACAGTGGCTGGTGACAGCTTGATAGCGCTGTCTTTTTTTTTTTTTTTTTTTTAAGACCGTGTGTTTTTTTTTTTTTTTTTTTAATTTTTTTTTTTTTTAATAGAGGCATGCTTTATTTATTTATTTATTTGTTTGTTTGTTTTGTTTATACATGCACTGGGTACAGTCAGAAGCGCGGGAGGGTGAGAGAATTCACCAGAGCCAGAGCGGGGAGCAGAGCAGGCAGAAGGACCGAAGTACACTGCTGAGGGGAGCAGAGGGCGGCAGGAGAGGTCTGCGCGCCATGTGGGACCCTCCTCCAGTGGCCGGGGGGATCGAGCCGGCAACCGCTGCGCCACCGGGGAGGCCCTTGATAGCGCTGTCTTTAACCCCTGCACTACCAGGGAGGCCCAAGTCCTTCCCTTTTATAGGTAGGAAAACAGGTCTGGAGAGGGATGCACCTTGCCCAAGGATACCACTAAGGCAGTAGCAGCCTGGCTCCAGAGCTTGTATTCTTGGTTTTGACTCTTTAGACATGCGATTTAATCTTGCTGTCAGTTAACAAAGCAGTGATAACAATAGGTGTTGTTTAGGTGGTGTTTACACTGTGCCTGGTCATCATGTGTACTTAATTCTTGCAACTTTATGATCTATGTGTAGCCATGTTTCCCATATTACAGACCTGGAAATGAGTGTGGAGGAATGAAGTTACTTGGTCATTATCACTCAGCAAATAAACAAGCCCAGGATCTAACCCAAATATAATCCGTTATAAAGCTGGTAGTCATAGGAGGTAAGATCTTTTTGGTCTTTTAAAGATTTTTATTTATTTATTTATTTGTTTATTTATGTATACAGGGACTGGGGTGCAGGCCAGAGATTCAGGGGGTGAGAGGATTTGCCAGAGACAGAGTGGGGAGCAGAACAGGCAGATTTGCTGAAATACACTGCTGAGGGGAGTAGTGAGCGAGACAGGCAGGGTCTCTTGCACCATGTGGATCAGCTCCCTGACCAGGGATGGAACTCATGCTGCAGTGGCTGGCGATAGCTTGATAGCCCTGAGACTTTTAACCACTATGCCACCAAGGAGGCCCAGGAGATAAGATTTTCTTCTTTTTTTTTAAAGATTTATTTATTTATTTATACAAGCACTGGGTACAGTCAGAAGCGCGGGAGAGATTTCACTAGAGCCAGAGCGGGGAACAGAACAGGCAGACTGACGAAATACACTGCTGAGGGGAGGAGCGGGCGCGGCAGGAGAGGTCTGTCGCGCCATGTGGACCCCTCGCAGTGGCCCAGGGACGGAACCAGCCCTGCAGAGGCTGCCGGGCAGCTTTGCAACCCAGTGCTCAACCTTTGCGCCACCAGGGGGGGCCCAGATAAGATTTTCTTAATGGAAAATAATACATGTGTAGGACCCACAATTCAAATAGCATAAAAATGCAGTTGCTTTTACCAGTTTGTGTATGCTTCCAGAACTTTTCTATATGTATGTAGTTTTTCATGAATATCTATGCCTTTACCTGCAGTTCTGTACCTTATTATTTTTTAAAGATTTATTTATTTATTTGTACAAGCACTGGGTACAGTCAGAAGCCCGGGAGGGTGAGAGAATTCACCAGAGCCAGAGCGGAGAGTAGAACAGGCAGAGTGAGAAGTACACTACTGAGGCAACAGCGGGCGGCAGGAGAGGTCTGCGCGCCATGTGGGACCCTAGCCGGCAGCCGGGGATCGAACCTGTGATTTAGAGGCTGCGGGCAGCTTCGCAACCCATCGCTCAACCGCTGCGCCACCAGGGAGGCCCATGTACCTTATTTTTTAAAAAAATTTGTCTTCCTCTTAGACTGTTTAAAATTGTTTACATTTCAGTACATACAGACTTCATGCTTTCTACAGCTGTTGCCTAGCATTTATTTTCTTTTAATTTATTTTATTTATACAAGAGCTGGGGTACAGGCCAGAGGCGCGGGAAGGTGAGAGGATTCACTCTCCCAGAGATACAGCGGGGAGCAGAACCGGCAGATGGACCAAAAGCACTGCTGAGGGGAGCAGGGGGCGAGACAGGAGAGGTTTGCCACGCCATGTGGGTTGTTCCCTGCCGGGCGGGGATGGAACCCGCGCTGCAGAGGCGGTAGACAGCTTCACAGCGTTTTTCTCAACCCGCTGCGCCACCGGGGAGGTTCCTGCCTAGTATTTCTTAACCAGTTCCAAGAATGGGCAGTTAGGATGTTTCCATGTGCAATTCTTGTTAGGACTGCAATGCCAATACTTGTCCATCATTCTTTTGCTCATCTCTAAGGTCTAGATTTTGGGTCATGGAGCAGGCAGATGGTCTGCCTCCTTAGTGGACTGCTTCTCTGACTCAGAGGAATCAACTCCCTTCTAAAAATCCTACCACCTATTCCTGGTCTCTTTTCCAAGAGGTTTCCCAGTTTCCAGAATCCTGCAAAACGGTCTGCAAAATACTGTGAATTTTCTTGGGGAAAGGATCTGTTGTGCACTCCAAAAGATAGGTGCGCTAAAATCGAAGCGGCAGGTGAAGGACGTTGGAGACATTAGCTGCATCCAGACGGGGCATGAACTGATGCTATTCCTAGGAGAGGGCCTTATAGGAATGAAAGTGGGAGAGTGCCTCTGCCCTGGAAGCACTGACATGTCCTGACCCTAAGCTCATTGGAACCCAGTGAGAACAGGTGTGCGAGCCCGAGGCCGAGGTGCCTTCTGGGACTTGTATTTTTCTCCGGAGCCAGGAAACGCACACGCGAGGGTCACCGCAAGATCTCACCACAAGGTGTCGCCCTTGGCGAGTACGGTGAGTCTCCACCCTCTGCGCCAGAAGTCTCCACCAGACGGGCAACAATCTCAAGAACGGGAGCGTCTCTGATTGACCGATTCAGTTCTCAATCATAGTCAAGATTCGCCTGGAAAGCCCGCCCGCCTCCGCTTATTAGCTGAAGGAGCAGAGTGATGTTTATATAAACCAATGGGACAATTTTGGGGAACTAGGTAGTGTCAAGTGACAAGACAGTCTCTGAGAATTGATACTGGATATCATTGGCCACGTTTACTGACTGGCGGGTCTTTCTGCCAATAAAATTGGCGACATTTTTTTGCAATCTGGGAACTTTCCAGGAAAGGCGGGGCCAACGTAGCTTTTTCCGAAACACCGCACCCCCCCCTTTGACAACTCGCTTCCTACCGCTATTGGCTCTTGCACAAAAGCGACAGTTTTTGTATCCAATGAGTCCGCGAGAAGGTCCCCGGGAGGCAGGCTCACTCAGCTGTGGGCTCGTGCCTCGCTCTCATTGGCTTACGTACACGAATGACAGCACTACCGGCCAATCGGGGGAGGCGCCAGGACCTGGGGCTCGGCCCCCGGGCCCGGGCGGGAGGTCGCTCCGGTCGGGTGTAGTCAGAGAACCGGATGAGGCGGCGACCGTGAGGCCGAGCCGGGAGCGGACGTCGCGCCGAGGCTCGGGCAGGCGGGGAGCAACGGCCGCGGACGCCGCGGGGCCGCGTCGTTGAGGGCCGGGTGCGGGCTGAGAGCGCGGGGCGCTCAGGCCGGGATCGCCGGCGCCATGGGCAACCGCGGGATGGAAGAGTTGATCCCGCTGGTGAACAAGCTGCAGGACGCCTTCAGCTCCATCGGCCAGAGCTGCCACCTGGACCTGCCGCAGATCGCCGTGGTGGGCGGCCAGAGCGCCGGAAAGAGCTCGGTGCTCGAGAACTTCGTGGGCCGGTGAGCGGGAGCTGCGGCCACGGCCGGCGGGCGGCGGCCTGCGGTGGAGGGCGGACCGGGAATGGCGCGCCCTGCGCCGCCGGCGTAGCTGCGGCGCCTGCGTGCCCTCGACGGGACAGGGACAGGGAGGCGGGCTCTGTGGGACGCCTTGAGCGAAGGGCTCCTAGCTGGGCTAGGGAGCCGGCCTGGGCTCTCCGGGCGTCTCACGGGCTGGGGGGCGTGGGCCAGGAGGTGCGCACCTGCTTTAGTGGGTGGACGTCACCCTCTCGCTGCTTGGCGTCAGGGGTAGGACCCCCTTCCCTGTATGTGTGTCCAAAAACCTGCCACCTACATGTCTGTTGGGCCTACCCCTGGGGTCTGGTTGGTTGGTCGTGTTTCTGCAGCACCTCCTCCCGTCTGGTCGTCTGTCTTTAGGGTTCCCTGCCACTACCGTTTGACTGTCCATCTGTCCAGTCCTGCGGTGCAGCCCCCTGATGTCTGGACAGCTGTTCAGTGTGACCAGTGCTGTCTGGCCGCCCATCCGTGCCCCTTTCACTTAACACTTAGCCATCCTTCTCTTGAGTTGCCTCATCTGACCTCTGCTGTCTGACTGATTGGCTGGACCCAAGTGGACCCTGTTGTCTGGCTTTCTTCCGCTGACTTTTCAGCTTGGTCCCTGGCAATTGGGGGGGGGGGAGTTTGAGGGGTACGCTCTTCCAAGTGCATCCTTATGTCTGTTTGTCCAGATATTTGTCCTCCACTTAGTCTGCCTAAGAGTGCCTTCGCAGCCCCTAACTGTTTAGCCCCATTTCAATGGGGGCTAGAGGACTTGGAGAGAAGAGGGCTGGAGGATCTGTTGGGAGCTCCTCACTCCTGTTGGATCAGTTGGACGTAGGGGAACTTTCTCCAGGATTCTCTCCAAGAGCCTAGAACACAGGGGCTCCCATGCTAAAGCCTGCAAATTGGGGTCCCTCCTTGGAGTCTGGGAAGGGACTTCTTGTCTGGTCAGGCCTCAGTGGCAAGAAATGGGTTACAGGTTTTCCTGGGTAACCCTGAGAAGCTTCAGTTTCCCCATCTGTCCAGTGGGCTTCACTCTGGGCTGTTTCCAGGATTCAGGAAGCAAAGGGATAAGAATGGGTGCTGTGGCCATAGAAGATGCTTAGTTCTCCCCTCTCCCTTTGCTTGTGTTCTTCTGCCTCCCTTCTCCATTCTGGGAAGTATTCTGTTTGTGACTAGCTACAACTACAACTATCATGTTGTTAACCAGTGCCATGGGGTAATGTTGATGTAGCAGGCTCTGGTCTGAGTTCTTGGTTCATCATCTGGAATCCCACGATGAGTGAGTGAGGTGGAGGTTCTGTTATCCCCACCTTAGAGTTCAGCGGGGAGACTCAGAAAGGTTTTGCTGTTTGCCCAGCACCACCAGCTAGCTGCTTGGTGGGGCCCAACTGAGCACCCAGCTCCACCCCTGCCTTCCCAGAAGTCTGGGGTTTTGATCATAGCAGCATGAATTTCCTTGTTTGCTGTTTTGTCTCTGGCAAGTTGCCTTCTGTCCAATGTGGCGGAAAGGTGTGGACTTGGGGTCAGCCAGGTCCCTGGCCTGAACCTTGGGCTGGGGTGTGGGCCCCTCTGTGTGGCCATTTTCCTGCCTACCCAGGCTTCTGATGGGTTTCAGCAAAGCTCTGTGACCTTGTGTTGGTGATTTGACTTCTCTGAGCCTTTGTGTCTTTCCTGAAAATGGGGTGATAAAGCCTTAGGAAGACTGCCGCAAGGGCACAGTGTGTTGAAAATGCTGACTTAGCACAGAGTAGGTCTGTGGTGAGGGACTGTTATTCATGAGGCTGGTTCTTCTCAGAACTACAGTGAAAGCTAATCAAAATTAAATGCTCTCAAGTCACATGCAGGACTCCATTTAAGTGTACAAAGGTAGCACTGTTACAACCCACATTTCATAGAGCAGGAAACTGAGGCTCAGTTGAGCAGTCTTGTCCAAGGCCATTCAGTGAAGAATTGGGGCTCTGGGTTGGGGACCCCCAAGTCTCACCTCCCGACCTTTCCTCAGTCTCTCTGTTCCTTGCTTTCTCTCCTGCCTATCCTGGAATATGTGACCTACAGCTATGACTCCAGTGGCAATCTTCTCCCAGAAGCCTTCAGTGCAGACTTGGGTCCTTAAAAACTTTAATTCAGGGCCAGAGAACCAAAGATATATAAAGGCCTTCCTTCCGTTATGGGATGCTCAAATAGAGTTAACTTCTTTTTATTTCTGGAATGTGGGCAAGGCCTCTTTGCTGCGCTAAGGGGATGGCAGGCGGGCCACACCTTGAATCTCACAACTTTTCATGAATTTGGCCAAAAAGCAGCATGTCCATGTACAATGGACATCCAGCTGCTCTTAAGGAACAAACGAGAGCACGTCAAGGACTTGTGCCCAGGGTCACCTCAGGCTTCTCTCTTTCATTGCCTCTTCCTCATGGATTTTCTAAGACTCCGGCTCGGGTAGGAATGGCCCAGTTAGCTCAGTCCTGTATCAGGAATTGCAGATCAGGGGCCACAGGGAACCAAGAGCTGCTTGCTGTGTCTTTTGTTTCAATTGTTTGACATTGGAAGAAGAAAAAAAAACACGACTTTTTTTTTTTAATTTTTTTTTTAAAGATTTATTTATTTATTTATACATACAAGCACTGGGTACAGTCAGAAGCGCGGGAGGGTGAGAGAATTCACCAGAGCCAGAGCGGGGAGCAGAGCAGGCAGAAGGACCGAAGTACACTGCTGAGGGGAGCAGCGGGCGGCAGGAGAGTTCTGCGCGCCATGTGGGACCCTCCTCCGGTGGCCGGGGAGCAGCCGGGGATCGAACCAGCGCTGCAGAGTCTGCCGGCAGCTTTGCAACCCAGCGCTCAACCGCTGCGCCACCGGGGAGGCCCATAAACACGACTTTTTTTTAATAAACTGCCAACATTTGATAATTACATCGATATCCAGATTTCTGCAGTGCCAGCAAATAAATACTCAAAGATCTTTAGAGTTTAGTGATGTTTTGCCCAGCTCTAGGCCCAAGGCCTGGCTCCATCATGTTTGGACTCATAACTTTAGCTGAATAGACTTAGGTTCCTTTCTGTAAAATGGGGGTGATGACTAGATCCTCTAAGGGGTCTGAGTGAGTTAATGTGTGTCAAGCGTGTGGACCCTGTAGCCATGGCCATTGTTGTTATAATCACTACATTCTGACCTCCTTGGACCCGTGTTTTATTTGGCACCAACTGTTTGGATCTCAAGCAGCAATCTATATCCCATCAGACTAAGCATGGCCACTTCAGCTGCCACAATCCCCTCTTCTCCCTAGAGCTCTCCCAGGCCCAGTTCACATTTGTCTGAACCCTCCTGCCCCAGAAACTATTGAGTTGAAGACCCCCCTGCTTGTCTGCATCAGCAGACAGACCTTTGGCCCTAAGGAGAGGGAATCATGTGGCTCTGATGACCTTGTCATTTATCTGGCAAGAGGGAGGGACTTGGAAAGTTGTTCTTTGGGAGAAAGCGGAAGGAAGCTGAGGTTGAGGCCTCCAGTTTGGAGTCCCCAAGGCCCAGACTTGATTCTTTGAGCCTTTCCTCCCTGGTCCTCAGTTCTCCAACTAGGAAACAGGCCTGTTAACTGTATCTACTCTTAGGCCTCTTTCAGGCAGCCTTGTTGGGTGTGTTTCATCTCTTAGAGAAGATAAGTGACTGATGTCCCTCCTTGAGGGATGAGTAAGGATTAAATGAACCCATTTAGATTCTTGGAGGAATGACTAGCACCAAAAAGGCTAATACTCAATGAGTTTTTCATTTGTTCTATGAAAAAAAATTTTTTTTAAAGATTTATTTATGCATACAAGAACTGGGGTGTAAGCCAGAAGTGCTGAGGGTGACAGGATTCACCAGAGAGAGTGGGGAGCAGAACAGGTGGGTCTACTGAAGTACACTGCTGAGGGTAGCAGTGGGTGAGGCAGGAGAGGTCTGCTGCGCCATGTGGGTTGCTCCCTGGCCTGCCAGGGATCGAACTCGTGCTACAGTGGCTGGCGATAACTTGATAGCGCTGTCTTTAACCTCTGCGCCACTAGGGAGGCCCTGAAAATATTTTCTGAGCATGTTCACTGTGTGTGTGGCCGGGGTCCGGGGCACAGGTACACAGACACAGACCTGAGCAAGAAACCAAACCCCTGCCCCAGAGGAACTGGCCCTCCCAGGGAGTGGAGGGTGGGGGTAGATAAGAAAGAAATACTTTTGGAGGTTGATAATTCTTATGGGTAAAGAGCTGGGTTAAGGAGAGAGTGCAGTGGTGTGGGAGGGTGGTTTTATTTTTATTTATGCATACAAGAACTGGGGTACAGGCCAGAGGTGCAGGGGGTGAGAGGATTCACCAGAGACAGAGCGGGGAACAGAACAGGCAGATTGAAGGAAATACAATGCTGAGGGGAGCAGTGGGTGAGTCAGGAGAGGTCTGCTGTACCATGTGGGTTGCTCCTTGGCCAGGGATCGAACTCGTGCTGCCATGGCTGCAGATAGCTTCATAGGTTGCGTCTTAACCCCTTGTGCCACCAGCGAGGCCCCAGGAGGGTGGTTTTATTTTATTTTATTTTTTTTTAAGATTTATTTATTTATACATACATACATACATACACACATACACACATACATACAAGCACTGGGTACTGTCAGAATTGCGGGAGGGTGAGAGAATTCACCAGAGCCAGAGCGGGGAGCAGAGCAGACAGAAGGACCGAAGTACATTGCTGAGGGAAGCAGCGGGCAGCAGGAGAGGTCTGCGCGCATGTGGGACCCTCCTCCGGTGGCCGGGGAGCAGTCGGGGATCGAACTGGCACTGCCAAGGTCGCGGGCAGCTTCACAACCCAGCGCTCAACCGCTGCGCCACCGGGGAGGCCCAGGAGGGTGGTTTTAAATAGGGTGCTTACAGGTGCCTTGATGGGAGAACTACAGAGACGATACATGAGGGCAGAAAACAAATGCTGTCCAGAAATGAACACCAA